CTCCGCGCGAGGGAAAGTGTAGAACGAAAAGGCCGGTTCGCAATATCCAACATGGCGGAGGAAGGGTCGCTGCAGGCGCATGGAGAGCAGCCCTTAAGGACGCAGCCTAAGGGCGAAGCGGAGGCACGTGGCAACAAGCAAGATGGCGGAGACATGGCGCGCTTTTCAAGTGGCAAGCGGAGAGGATGGCACGCGACAACAAGCAAAATGACGGAGACAGGGCGTATTTTTCAAATGGCAAGCGGAGAGGTTGAAGCAAGAAGACAGTAAGAAGGACAAGAGGAAGAGGCGAAGCGACACGGAACGAAGTAAAGGAAGGAATTAATTAATTAATAATTAATAAATGAAATGCGCGAGATTAATAATAATATTAATTAATTAATTATTTAATAATTAACTAATGAATTAATTAATAAATAGTGAAGTGATTAATAGATTAATGTTCCGTATCTAGGCAAGTAGGAGAGGGACATCCCTGAATTCAAATCCCAACCGTGAAGTTTTCTGTCTCTCGTCCTCCTGGACGCACCGGAAGATCTCTTTCGGTGCGTTCTCGAAGGATCGAGAGACACCAAAACCCCCCTGTTACCGGTATGAAATTTATTGGTTCCCGTCGTCGTCATGTCTAATAAGCAACAGCTGATTGGGCCGTGATGACGATAATTACCGTGGATTCCCGAATTTAAGTAATCGCCCGACCCTCGCGAGAGAGAGTACCAAGCCAACCTTTGTCAACACAAGACGCGATAATCCTGCATAGTAAATACGCGGTGCGCGAAACCGAACTACAATTTCAATTATACTTTCTAATAATTACTTCGTCGTGTTGTCGTGTGCGTGTAGTGTGTGCAATTTCGATTTGGTGTTGTTTAATAAACTGTGTAAAATTTACTTGAACGGGTTATTGAAAACCCCCCAATTTTCAGAGTCCTTTTCACCGATTACCGAACATTTACCGAACAATTAATAAACAAATAATGAATAATAATAATTAATAACAGGCAAGAAATACGGTGTAATAATGGGAAAGTGTTATGGGAGTGCAGTGAAGTGCACTAAATATCGTGGGTACAGGGAAATACGCGTGATCACGTACGCGAGTGCAAAGGAAACAGTGCAAAGCGGGAAATGGCGGAAAAGCGTTCGAGGAACAGTGGAAAGCGCTCCAGCACCCTGGAAATCCCGAAGTTACATCGATGGTGGAGCAAAGGGGCCGGTTCGAGAATGTCCAGCATGGCGGAGAAAGAAACGCTGCAAACGCTTGGAGAACGGACCTAAAGGGTGAAGCGAAAGGATGCGGCAGCAAGCAAGATGGTGGAGACAGGGCGCGCTCTTCAAACGGCAAGAGGAGAGGAAGAAGCGAGAAGACAACGAGAGGGAGAAGAGGAAGAGCAGAAGTGGAAGAGGTGCAGAAAGTTAGACACGACCGATCGAATGATTCAAACCTGCAAGGGAGGAAACCGGTGTCAGCCTGGTCATAGCATCATTAGCGGGCACAACACAAAACGGGGACCGACGGAGCGGGAGAGAGGAGGGAGAAAGGTCAACTGTGTCAACTACCCTTCTGATCAATTGTCGATTTAACAAGGGACCCAGTCGTTAGCCTGGTCATGGCACCATTAGGGGGCGACAATAGGGATCGAGCGGGATCGGCAGAAGAGAGGAAGGAGAAACTGCAGCGTTCGGGGAAATAGAGGCTGAAGTAGAAGGTTAGGGGCGATATTAGTTAAACATAGAGATCATACACACGATATCGAGCATTAGCAATTTAGTAGGCGCGATGTGGTGGGGAGAGGTGGCGGTTTTAGGGCCGTATGTTCGGACGCGGTGGAAGGCGGCAGTGCGTGGCGTTACAGGACGAAGCTGGTAGTTGGAGCGCTTGCGCCAACACTTCCCCGAGGAACTTGACGAAACCAGCTGGGCCAAGAGCCATTGCGTAAGATCATCTTCTCCCTGCATGCAGAGCACACGCCGAAAAGGGGGGTCCAGTCCCATTTCACGAACGCAAGCAACGGCCTAGCGCGACTGGAACATGTCCCACTGATGATGAAGCTCGTCGGGTTACTGCCACTCCTCACTCTTCGGGGTGGGGCGGGAGACAGTTTTAGTGAGTATGCGTGAAAACCGCTCCCACTAGAGGGCGCCGGAAGCGAGAATCTCACACCACCTGGGCCATCTTCCCAGGTGTCCATAAAGGATTTCTGTCTTCCTCAAACAAAAAAAAAGGCTACAACCAATCAGCCGTGGCGGAACACCAAAGCATAAAATTCTGTTTAGTAAAGCTGAAGTTTTGGCAAAGACATCAGCTTAAGTTCCCAGAAATCATAGGGAATCAATAGAGATCAGGAAACATTCTAATAACATCAATCGGGAAACAGGACACCATTTTATCCCAATCTGGCACGCGCTCTTCCCAGCTTTTAATTGTGCGCACAATCAAAAAAATCCCACTTTCTAATTGGGCGCGAGCAACCAACCAAAACAGTCAACGATCCGGAACACGAGCATGACATCATAATACGAGTATAAGTGGCGACATAACCCCAGTTACACCAGTATCAGTTTATCCCCTGATGAAGCCAGCTAAAATACTGAGAAACGTTGGAAACTCGCTTCCTTTAGGATACGGCTTGCACCCGAAAGCCTCAACAGCAATACCTGTCTCTGTTTCTCTTATTTGGAACTAGTTTTACTACATTCAATGACTACAAATATCATAAGACGCATATGCATATCTATGTTCACGAGAGCTTATAGATTTTGGGGGCCGATTACCCAAAAGTAAGATTGAATAGATAGTAAAAAGTGGCAATATCTACAGCGCTATCTCTTTTATCTGTTTATGCTTTACCAATATGATTTCCTGATCTGTTTTGTTTCTTCCTGGGGGCGTTAAAAAATGGCAAATTATTTGTATGACATGATCTTCGATTTACTGTTTGGTTGGCAGTCATTAATAGTATCTTAAGAATGGTATGATTAGTTTGTCGATTCAAATCATATTATGTAATTGTATTTAAGCAATCTACTCTCACATGAACTGTTAAATAAAGCAGATGGCGCTCGTTTCCGAGTCACAGACTCATGTTCGTTTAAAAAGAAAAAAATACACATTCTTTTTATATTTACAGTCACTGGTACATTTTTCCGCAGCTTTACGCCATACAGCGCCATTAGTGGTTAAAGTAAAACACATTGTTGACATTTGTTATTTTAAACAAAGAGCACATTTCACATGCTTTTCATTTTGTTAATTGCTCGTGTCCACCGTAACGATAGTCGAGCTTTGTAGGCGTTATGCACGCTTGTGCCAACGAAAGCTAATGTTCTAACACTCGAAGGACCACCCGATACTTCGGGAAAAAATGACTAAGTGTCTAGGTTTGAAAATGTTGTGCTAGTTTTATTCTAAGTCCAATACTGTGTTCTAATCGAGTACTATTTTCTATCTATGTTGCTTTCTATCTAGTTTCTATCTATCAAGTTTTCTATCTGTTTAAAATGTGTAAAACTATATCCGAGGTAACCTCGGTAAGGCTGTACTTGGTGGGGGAGGAATGTTCCGATTGGGTGACAAAAATTGTGAAAACCAGGGAAGGGAGGTGAAAGTTAACACCCTTCTTGGGTTTTTCCCAGTTTTTCCCAGTCGCTACGTATGACTAATTTTGGCCCTTGACCGTGGCAATTAATAAAGTCAAGCAGCGCGCTGACCGTGGAAAAACATTCGAGAAATAACGGACTAGAAAGTTAGAAATGATAGTACCTAGTGACCATATGCGAAACAAAGGAACGAAAAAAGCTACGGTAAGAATCGCGGGTCTTTATGGCTTCATGAGTTCACTGCTGCCACGCAACGTTTTACAAAATTTCAAGGGACCAGCTATAAATCAACTAAAAACTAAATGCTAAATACTATGAATTTACAAAACTAAGGATAAACTAAATATTTACAGTGAAATATATGACAACTCTTAACACATTTTATTACTTAAAATTCGTGCAAATGTTTATTATGAGGATTTGAAGGTGCTATGGATCATGTTACTTCATTAAGAAGTAATAGAAAAACTGAAATGGTAGAAAGGCATATAAAATAATTGCATCATATTTCGTGAACCTTTCTACAACAGCGCATTTTATTTACAAACCCTTCATTGAATGTACAGTGAAATTTATGTCTCTATCATCGTCTTTTATTATACTACAACTTATAGCATTTTTCATAAATTAAATCTTTTTATCCACGATAAAAACTCGCAAATGTTAATAATTATGTTTATGGAAATTACGGAGCTTCGAGCAATCAAGATCGGTCAAATCGAACTGATTTTAACACTAGATTTACAGACGTTTGATGGTCACTTTTATTTAAATTTACCTAAAGTAGAAAATAAATAAATTGCAGATTATATGTGAACTGCCTAAAACATTGATTCTTTTGCTGAAAGTTGATGAACAATTAAAATAAAATAATACATAATCTTGGTTTAATGATTCAAATTTAATGTTTAATTATTTTCGCGGAAAATATTACCTACTCTAAATCAAAATTATGAGATAATTAATGTAAATGATAATATATATATATTATGATTACCGACTGTCGAATTTGATAGATATGGTAATAGATACCTAATGTACTGTCGATAATTGGCAACTACGGTCGATAATTGACTATTCTAATCGATGGATATAAGATTGTCGCGATGATGCCGGTAGAAAGAAAAAAAGGTTTCCCCAGGGACATTACACATGCACGCGGTAGTTAGCCTTTGAGTTTTTCTTGTTTTTTGTGATTTGACGGTGAATAGATCGATCGAGTAAACTTTGATGTATCGAACGAACACGTGGGCATCTCCGCGCGAGGGAAAGTGTAGAACGAAAAGGCCGGTTCGCAATATCCAACATGGCGGAGGAAGGGTCGCTGCAGGCGCATGGAGAGCAGCCCTTAAGGACGCAGCCTAAGGGCGAAGCGGAGGCACGTGGCAACAAGCAGATTATATAAAATAGTTTATTTCATCTCATTTAACACAAAGATTTAACTAGAAATTCAGTTCTAAGGCAATTTACAACAAACATACTTAATTTTAGGTATTCTATTTCACTTGAAGAGTTTTGAAAACAATTTTGCATTAGATAGGCAGTTCGCAGAAGAATCCGTACGGCAGTTTACAAGATACATCGTCCATTCCGCCTTCCTTTAAAATCGCACCACAATTTGATGCATTATACCCATTATCTGGCTGTCCGCCCCACTTATCACTCCATTTGCTGTAGCCGGTTTGCTCTAGCGGGTCACCGAATAGCGTTATCCACTCGCCCTCTACAAACTGATCGTGTATACCTAACAAGGCTTCGTCGTTGATCGAGGAATCCTTTATCGGGCCCACTTGATTAAATATATCCATTAATGTCTGTAAAAAAGAACAAAGTATTAATGTCGGTTCGAATGAAGACAATACTATCGATCTACTTTTCATCATAAATCGTTCTATTATTGGGTGAAATTTTAGAAATGCTAATACTGTGTCTTTGATAGGTCAAAGAACAGTGTTCCAACTGTTGGAACAGGGTACGTGAGGATTCCGCTTGGAAAGTTTATGATAGGTCCGCGACAAAGGCTATTTTTGAGAAAGACTTTTTCCTTATTTCCTGCAATATTCATTTACCTTTTTTTGCGAATTTCTAACGTACGCTCTGGTACCGTCACACGGTCTCCTATAGAAACGCGTTAAGAGCGTAACGGAAGGGTGGGAGAAAGTCAAGGGACACGTTGATTGGAAAATCAAAAATCGAACGATGACCAATCAACATGTTTCCGAAACTTTCGCCAGGGTTCCTTAGCTCGCACGATCGAAAGCTAAGGACAGAACACAATTAAGTCGAACAGAACACAATTAACAGTCGAGCAGAACACAATCAACCGTCGAATAGATCAAAATCAACAGTCGAACATTGAACGAACTATTCCAATCGAACTTCAATTTTTCAATTTTCAGTTTTTCGTAAAAGTCCATGATTTCGGGACATCGATAATCATACAACACTTACCTGCCCTTTATCGATCGAAAAGGAGCTAATTTTTTGAACTACTGCTCCACGGTTAATTCGGTAGAACAGCACGTGGCGAAAAATCGCAGTCGAACGAGTCACGAAATTTACAACCTCGTGGTACGGAATTAAAAAAATCCGTGCGATGAATCGCGACGCGAGTAACCTCGTACGAACGGTTACAAGCAGAAATGTAGATTATTATTAGTGACATCATCGATTCAAGTTTAATAGGGCATCGAATAAAACACGTCCCTCCCTTTCAAATAATACGATTGAAATCGAATTGCAAAGCGAACCTATTACAAAAAACAGACTAAAAATAACTTCATATTTTACGCTTGCACCGTTACTTTGTAACTCGTAGTTCATAAGCATAAATGTTTTTATATTAGATTTTTTCCTAGACACTTGTCCCATTTAAAGTAACGATGATTTTGGAAATACAAATTTCTTCATTTAAACGTTTCCGAATGTATCACGTTTAAGGTTACACGAGAATCATAGTGTTATAGGTCATTGCATCTTTCTTGACCTCGTGATCATGATAGTACACGTAAATAATTCCGTTTTAAAAACATTGCTCATTTAAAATCTTGGGAAAGCTCTTTATGTATTTTAATATTTGTTTTATTTAACATAATATTTGCGACATAGAATGTAAAAATTCTGAAGTACAAAAATTTAGAAATATGGAACTCCCACCTTTTAGAAGTTTCGAAATGCACAAAATAAATACGAGGTTAGAAATTTTTCAAATTTTTTATTTTTAAAGTTTAAAAGAGGTTAATGAAAAACTTCAATAACGAATTAAAAGAAAGGAACTTCAGGGGAATATCAAGAGCAATATATTATCAAAGATAAATCATAATTATTATTAATTATTATAAGTGATTTAATCTTTACGTTAATTTGAACTCTTCTTTAATCTACTAATATCAAATTTGAAAGTCGATGTTATTTTAAAGTTTTTAGGTGTAGTTATTGTGCATAGTTAATAATTGTGGCATGTAAGAATTTGACGACATATTTTTTTCCTGGAAAGGCCAGTTTCATACGTTCTATTTGTGACAAAGCGTAACTAATTTATTTTGTTTATATTTAATTTTCAATTTCAGAAAATTAATACTTGTAGGTCAAAAAAGAAATCAAGTTAATGAAATGGTAAGCTTATTTGTAAGATTCAATGAAGTTTATTCTAATATTTTTGTAAAATTAGTTTTATTTTTCTTAATATGTCTCTTTAAAATTAGTTTAATTTTTCTGAACATGTCTCTATATTTCAATATTTAATTTAATTTAATTTAACGCTTTAATTTCCCAATTAATCTTGGTGTATGAACTATAAATTGATTGTAAATTTTCAGCTATATTCAAACGAAATATAATCATTATAAATTGTATTTTGTAGTAAAAAAGTACTATTTTTATTGTATTATAATAAAAAGCGCAGGATTGTTGTTTGACTTAAATATGAATTTTAAAGGCCAGTTTAGTATACAGCACCTTTTTAACTACAAATGGAATGATTGATACATGAAGACCTTTAACTGCTGTCCTACATGGTCGTTAAACATGCGTAAAAAATCGTTTGAATGTTTTCTGAGGTATACGTAAATACATGATTGACAGAGAATTTTCTAATTCTTTTTTATAAATCCATTCCCCACAAATACAGGTGAACTTACGCGCTCTTCCGCAGCAGAATTGATGATTGCCAAATGGCCACCTTCCGCCATACAAATTTTTCGTGCCTCGTTCCAAGTCCGTGGTTCGGTGTGAAGTTTATGCGCGCCGACTCCAAGTGTGTAAGTATAATCATCACGTAAAATGGTGTCACGAGAGTTTGAGTTCTCAAGGTTCGGCATCGACAAAATTTCTTGAAAACCAATTGACATGATGATACAGTTAAACAGGAAACTTAACGTTGACATCTTTATTGTGTCTGTTCGTTTGATCGAATCTTCGTACTTGTTACAGTGATCTTAATGGTACTGTATTTCGCTTATAAATATCGATTATTATAAAGCGGTACTTTTTAGTATAAATGTTCCCACCATCGTTCGTCGTTATTGTGTGTACAGAAATTTGATTTGCTACTATAGTATATGCAGCAATTGCAAAGATTATCTCAATTACTCAATCACTCAGATACTAAATTATGGATATAATAAATACATACACAAACAAGTAAGTAAACCCTGGGTTTCTCCAAAGGTCATCATCAAGAGGTCAAGCGACCATCTGCTGGTCGCGTAGCTGACCTAAGGCCCAGGAAAATTCCTCTGCGTTGCCATTTTCACCAGCACACGCTACTCCTGTCAAATCGTACCCCCGCTTCAAAAAAGCGTGCTACGGGCATAAGAGGGAGGTCGTACGATTTGATGGAATTTAGATTTCTATAATTAGTTAACCCCACCTTGTTGGGGATCGGCTTAAAATACCATGTAAGTGTTAAAAAAAGATGCTCGAGCGCAAGAGATTCAGATATAGAGTCAGAAAAAGCCTTGCAAGTTCAAAATAGATAATGACGTGCGTTCTCAATAAAGACATACAGAAAACGCAACTTACTGTGTTCATAATTTATTTACCACATTTATTTACCAAATAATTTATTACCTAAAATAATATAGAGATGAACATGTCAGAATATAAATTCTCACTTAAATTCTTGTAAAAATTTGTACATATACAAAGGAATGTGTTTTTCAATTCAGTATTGTGATAAAATTAAAATTTAAGGAAATACGTAAAATATTTTTATATGTAGCTTCATTTTAGAGAAAATGATAAAAAGATGATAAATAGTTTGGAATATGGGAAACGATCTAATGAACAATTTATGTTCCGACGATGATACTTACAAGGGGACTTTACTCTAAGATACCCCTCGACCTTTTCTATTTTTTAATCGACTTCAAAAAAGGAGGAGGTTACTCAATTCGCTCATTATATATATTTTTTTTTTTTTTTTTTTTTTTTTCTATGTGTGCCCGCCGATTACGCCTAGCTGGATGGACCGATCGGAACGAAACCTTTTGCATCTGGTAGGTTCTAACTCCCCATTGGTACCATTATCAAAAAATTTTTCATTTTTTATTTGCAAAGTGTTGTTATTGCAAAAAAACCGGCAACTTTTGAAATAAACTTTTCTCGATTTTAGTGCGCTTTTAATATCTTATCGCGGACATGATTCCGAACAATTTTGTTCATATACAAATTTCGCGGAAAGCTTTTGTTTTCGAGATATTAGCGATAAATTGTTATTAACTTTTGAAATCAACTTCGAGCAATTTTAATGTCCTTCGAATATGTTGTTAGGAGCGTGGTTCTGGACAACTTTTTCCTCTTGCATAATTGACGGAAAGCTTTTGTTTTCGAGATATTAGCGATAAATTGTTATTAACTTTTGAAATCAACTTCGAGCAATTTTAATGTCCTTCGAATATGTTGTTAGGAGCGTGGTTCTGGACAACTTTTTCCTCTTGCATAATTGACGGAAAGCTTTTGTTTTCGAGATATTAGCGATAAATTGTTATTAACTTTTGAAATCAACTTCGAGCAATTTTAATGTCCTTCGAATATGTTGTTAGGAGCGTGGTTCTGGACAACTTTTTCCTCTTGCATAATTGACGGAAAGCTTTTGTTTTCGAGATATTAGCGA